TTTCATGATGGTCGGTGGCTGTTCAATGACTTTTCGTTGTACGAAATTCTGCTCTTCGGGGTTCTTCGACTCATTTTTACATTTCGTTAATCGCAACGTGACACGAGTGTTGCAATTACATTGGTAAAATTTGAAACGAACCTGTAAATGTACGCCTGTATGTTTAGTACAGTTAGTATAGAAAATTAGATTAAATAACTTATCTTTATATAACACTTGTTAAAAATGGCTCCACTGAATTTAATTACCTTTCGTATACACTTTCGGAATCGCTAGAAAAATTTTGGTTTAATTGCGATAATTAATGATTTTACCGATAATACAAAGTGTACAAAGCGTCGAATACTTTCGCGAGCCTTTTTTTGCACTATGCACTGTGACATATGTATCGTGGAAGCCAAAGGTGTCGCAACATGTTTCGTTAATCGCGATACTTGTTCAACAAAGAGACACACACCGGAGGAACGCTGTGTCTTTCAAAGCACCAGTGATATCCCGTCGTCGTCTTCGTATCTCTGCGTAGAGCACTTGCAGAGAGAAAGAAATCGAGACAGGGGCGCAGAAAAGAGGGGGGGGGAGGGAGGGAGTGAGAGGGGGAGAGGGGAAAAAGGGATTCGGGACAACGAACTTGCGACCGGTAGGTCTTCTCCCGGCTCGTCTTTGTCGCTCGTCTTTGCGCCAAACAAGTGAAAAATGTGAATGGATATGTGTACCTACATACCTTTACATGCGCACAGTTGTCGCAACGGAAGAAAATGGAAAACCACTGCGTGACACGAGCTACTTACAGTAAACGAAGGAAGAACGGAAAGAGTAGCGTAACGCGATAGAGGGCTTGCTCCGATGCGCGTGGCCTCCAGCCGAGCGATTACTTTTTTACTGGTTAATCGGCAGACGAGGCTGTTTTCACGCTCTCTCAGTAGGGGAAGAAGAAGAAGAAGAAGAAGAAGCTAGCGTACGCGCATGGTGGCCACGTGTGGCCGTAAATTGCCGCCGTTTTCGCTCCATTTCGCAATCACACGGCAATACCATAGGTATTAGCATAGAGGCAATATGTAGAACGAGCGGAATCGACAATTCGACCCTCGAAGACGAATAGTTTTGCTTCGTAACAAAGGGGGCAAAGCGAGGAAACGCGGTGCGGCGCGCGCTAGTAAGCTTTCAGGAATGCGCTCTTTCAAATTGGGACAATCGAGCAGGAATGCGGGATCCGGTCGGAGGCGGGCAGTTTCTTTTCCACGGCTCGTGAGTCATCCGATGGCTAAGAGCATAGGGCTCTTAGCTGGGCCGAGTATACCGAGCGATACCGTTCGAATCTCAAAGCGATCCCTTGTACCTTCGCAGCCATTTCTCTATCTCTCAAATGTCTA